GCAGGGGTAGGGGTGAGTAAACAAAACTCCCAAACATCGATGCTGAGGGAGAAATCTCCAGAACACGAAGACCGCCCACCAGAATCAGGCTGGAGTCTCAGGCTCTGTCACTGGAAACAGCACAGGACACTTTTGCTCTCACCGTGGCTATCACCGGTCAGAGGCAAAAAGAATGAAGAAATAGTCATCATAATAAATATTTTCTTAGAATTTACCCTCGCTTGAGGACAGGACACTAGTCAAAGAAATGACATGAAGTCAGAAAGTCCAAACTCATCTCCCAAACACAAAAGAGCACAGGTTATTAAGCATGATTCTGAGTGCCTTAGCCAGCTTGGCTCATTGGATAGAGTGTCAGTCTGAGGACTGAAAGGTCCTGGGTTTGATTCCGGTTGAGGTCACATGCTCAGGTTGTGGGCTCGATCCCCAGTAGGGGGCTTGCAGGAGGCAGCCAATCAATGATTCTCTCTCATCATTGATGTTTCTCTCTCTCTCTCTCTCTCTCTCTCTCCCTCTCTTAAATCAGTATATATATATATATATATATATATATATATATATATATATATATAATTTTTTTAAAGAAATTATTCTGAGCCATCACTTCAGATCCAAAAGAGATAACTGGGAATGGAACTAAACTTGGACTGAAACTCTGAGCACAAATAATAAAAGCAACACACTGAGTTTACATTCTGTCCTGGCACAGAGGAGAATTCTGAGCAGGGACATAATCACGTTTCTGTGCTGAGAGGTCGCTCTGTGGGTGGTTTGGAGAAGAGCAAGGGGGGAGGCATGAAGATCAACTGATTCTATTAAATGAAAAGTGATTAGAGCCCAGATATGGCTGTGGCAATGAGTATACAAAGGAGGGGGGGGGGATTTGAAAGCTCTTTAGAAGGCTTGGGAGGGATGCAGGCGCAGGGCATTAAGTCTAACAGAGCATGGATGCACCATTCACCCAGATGGGAAACTCAGGAAGAGCCGGTTTGAGGAGGAAAATAAAGTCTAATTTCGGTCCACCCAAACTCGGGAATCCCAGGACAGCTTCTGCCGGTGGGGAGCCCTCTAGTCTGCCCCTCAGATCTGCTCCCCTGACCTCAGTGTGCGGACTGGCCTGAAGATCTGCCTTTTTTTCTATCTGCTCCTCTGATGTGTTCAGGCTGTTCCTTGCTTTCTGAGGCCTCCTACTGGGGCATGACCCTCAGTCCTTTTCCTCCCAATTCACAGCCCAGAGGGTTCCCTGCTGCCCCTCATGCTGGTGCCGCCCCCGAGACCTCAGAGAGCCCGCCCTGTACCACAGCGCCTTCTCCAGGGAGGGATGGGAATCTCCCGCTAAAGCCCAGGTTGGCTTCAGCATGCTGAGTCCGGTCCTACTCTCAGTCCTACAAACGCTTCTTGTCCATATGAGGCAGCAATGCCCAGGCAGGTTCTCATTCTGCTGTCTGGCCAGAGGCCTGCCTGCCAGTGTTCTCGGCAGGTGAACCGCTCCCTCTCGAGGGGCAGGCGGCTCAGTGTGGCTAGCTGAACAAGTTCTAACAAGCTTTTGCCTCGTGGCACCTGAGAGAGCAAGATGGCTGCCCAGCAGCTCTGCTGGAGCCGTTGGAGAGAATCTGGCCAGGGCTCTTGTCCTTGCTGCGTCAGCTCACACGGGCAGGTCTGAGCCGGAAATATGGCCTCAATATGGGCTGCCAGTGTTTGTGTCAGGATAGGAAGGATACAGGCTTCATAAGTTGGAGCAAGTGAACTTCCTTGCATGGGTCATTCAAGACATATCTACCTTACTGCAGAAACAATGCTAGCTCTTTGTACATGAAATTTAAAACAAAAACAAAAACAAAAAACTTCAATCATGAATGCTTTCATGTGGGGAAAAAAAGAAGTTATAACAAAAAATACAGACCTCCACTCACCCTGCCTGTTCCATGTGCCAGCAAAGCTGCACTCCGGCTGCTCCACTCTTAGAAAAGTTCATTTCAATCCAGAGCACTGCTCTCCTTCAGCTGTGGACGTGCTAGCAGACTCAGAAAGCTCTATGTCCCGACAGGTGGTGTTTGGGAAAGAGATCATTACTGGTTTTGGGCTCCATCCAGGTGTTCCCCTGGGCAGACACTCCCCGAGGCCTCCTCACCAATCAAATTCCAATTTTGGCCTCACCTGGCAGGACATGGCCATGTGCTGCTGCCGAATCTGTACAGCTGAGCTCCTTTCTTCAGAGGTAAACAAAAAACCGGTAGGGCCGAAACCTGTTTGGCTCAGTGGATAGAGCGTCAGCCTGTGGACTGAAGGGTCCTGGGTTCGATTCTGGTCAAGGGCATGTACCTTGGTTGCAGGCATATCCCCAGCGGAGGTGGTGCAGGAAGCAGCTGGTAGATGTTGTTTCTCTCTCATCAATGTTTCTATCTTTCTATCTCTCTCTCTTCCTCCCTGTAAAAAATCAATAAGATATATATAAAAAACAAACAAACAAACAAAAAACTGAAACCAGTTTGGCTCAGTGGATAGAGTGTTGGTCTGCGGACTGGAAGGTCCTGGGTTCGATTCCGGTCAAGGGCATGTACATTGATTGCGGGCACATCCTCAGTGGGGGTTGTGCAGGAGGCAGCTGGTCGATGTTTCTAGCTCTCTATCCCTCTCCCTTTCACTCTGTAAAAAAATCAATAAAATATATTAAAAAAAAAAAAAAAAAAAAAAAAGACTGGTAGTAATCAATGGTTCTCCCCCTCCCCCCCAACAAATTGGCCCAAACTGCCTGGCTGGTATGACTAAGTGGTTGAGTGGCAACCTATGAACCAGGAGGTCACGGTTCAACTCCCAGTCAGGGCTCAAGCCCAGATTGTGGGCTCGATCCCGAGGGGGGAGCATGCAGGAGGCTGCTGATCTATGATTCTTTCTCATCATTAATGTTTCTATCCCTCTCTCCCTCTGCCCTTCCTCTCCCTGAAATCAATGAAAACATATTTTAAAAAAAAATTGGCCCAAACTCTTGAACACCAGCCTTTTGAGCAAGTGAAACTTACTTTGGGATTAGAGATGAAATTGGCAATGTGCCACCTTCTCTGGCCCACTGCTACCCCGTGGTGGGACCCTAGCCTCGTGATGTACTCCAGGCATCAGTGAGCTGAACAGTGGTGCCCCATCTCAGTGGGGCTCTGAGTAGTATGAATCTACTTTCAGTGAGAGGTCATTGCAGACAATGATGTAGCCTAGCAGTTCCCAAAAATGTGGTCCCCAGCCAGCAGCATCCGCATCCCCTGGGATACGCATATTTTCACGTTCATCCCTCACCTTCCAGAACCAGAAACCCTGAGCCCAGCAATCAAGAGCTGAACAATCTGTTCAGGTGCTTCTGGCGCCCGCTGGAGATTGAGAACCACCCATGTAAACGGGTGGCTTTGAGCATCTGCATGGACTAAGCCTTTCTTGGTCCAGCAAGCCCAGCCCCCTACCTAGCCCAGGCCCTCCTCCTCCGTGAATATGGATAGGTTTTTCTGGTAAATGACCTGTCCTGGAGGCAGAGGGGCGCAACCTGCAGTTCCTCAGAGCTGCATGTGGGGAGCAGGTCCAAAGTCCGGTGGTTGCTCTCAGGCAACTGCTGGCCGTTAAACCCCAAGACCCTACGGCTCGAGGCTCCACACCTTCTGTTTTGCTTCAGTCTTCTGCAGTTAGAAATGCCACGCTCTATCCCATCTGTCGCGTCATGCCAATAAATGTCCTCTCGCTGGGGACCTTAGGACTAGCTCTTTCAGTGGCCTAGTTGGAACCAAAGCAAGGTGAATCGTATGCTATGCTCTGAAGCACAGAGATGCTGCCTATGTTGACTGGCTATCCTCACTGCCTTCTGTTTCCATTTATGTTTCTCTTAGAGCAGTGGTCGGGAAACTGCAACTCGTGAGCCACATGTGGCTCTTTGGCCCCATGAGTGTGGCTTTTCCACAAAATACCACGTGCGGGCGCGCTGGTACAGTGCGATTGAAACTTCGTGGCCCATGTGCAGAAGTCAGTTTTCGGCTCTCAAAAGAAATTTCAATCGTTGTCCTGTTGATATTTGGCTCTGTTGACTAATGAGTTTGCCGACCACTATCTTAGTGGATTCGTCCAAATGTATGCTAGTCTGGATCAACACAATAATTTGTGATCTATTTTAGTACCATAAAAACTACAAAAGTTTTTTTTTTCTTCTTCTGGGTTCATATATAATATGAATCTCTCAGTTTACCTCAGGTCCTGAGTGTGCAAGCTGGTAAACACTTTAACTGGTTCAACGTAAGGTAAATTTGGCTTTTCATGGCAATTTTAGTCCCACATCACTAATTTCACTGACGACAACCAGCTCTCCATCCAGACACAGTCCCTCCACTTCCTATCACAGTCCCTGATTTCTCCTACGCTTGGTTAGCTTCATTCCCTTGTTCAATGATTTGTTATACCCCCATCTCTCATCGAAGGTTTAATTATTGAACAAAACAGTTACTCCATACATTCATACCATTCTCAGCACTTTCCATCCCATCTCACACCTGCAAGGAATAGACTGCAAGGTCAGTGGCGAGGCGCCTCCTGCCGGCGTCCCGGCGCACTGCAGCTTTGCCTGCTCGCTACCCCTGTGTCCCCGCGGGTCAAGAGCTTCCCAGGACCTGGGGAGACGCGTGCCAGCGCAAGGCTTCCTGGGAAATGTCTTAAGGGTACGTGTGAAAACTACAAATCCCGGGAGGCACCGCGGTGATGAGGGCGCTGTGGTGCATCTGACTCTTGTTTGTCAGCGCTGTTGGGAATGCTGTACAAACCTGACTCAGTATTCACCAGAGGCTCTGGGGGGACATGGTAGTTCTCCTGCCAGGCGCGCACGAACGGACCTGAGCTCCGCAGCTTCCGCGGACTTGCTCGGGTGGCGAATCTGCCGTCGCGGCACAGTGCGTAGGCGCGTCAGGCCCGGACGTGAAGTTTGTGGAATCTGCTGCGGGGAGAACGGCGCCAGCGTCTCTTGGGCGACTGCAGCCATGGCGGCGGCGGCGGCCCCCGGTGCCGGCGGCTCGGCGCCGCAGGCGGCGGGCTCGGCCGAAGCCCCGCTGCAGTACAGCCTTCTCCTGCAGCACCTGGTGGGTGACAAGCGGCAGCCCCGGCTTCTGGAGCCCGGCATGCTGGGCGGGATCCCGAGTCCGGCCAAGAGTGAGGAGCAGAAGATGATAGAGAAGGCGATGGAAAGCTGCGCCTTCAAGGCGGCGCTGGCCTGCGTGGGAGGTGAGGCCAGCGAGGGCGCCCCTGGGCGGCGGAGGGTTTGGGTGGCAGGGGGTCCGGGAGGAGAGGAGCCTGTGGGCCTGACCTTGACCCCGTCGCTTTCGGTGAATCCAGCCACGCTCCCTAGACCCTGGAAGTTGGATCAGAGAATCGGTACTGTGGGTCAGGGCTTGGGCGTTATAAAATGGTTGGCCTCCTTCATCCTTCATTCGTTCACTTTAAAATCATCATCCTTTCAATAGATTGTTACTGAGCAGCTATCATGTGCCAGGCGGTGGAGAGAGGGTTGTTCTCTGGAAGGTAACATTCTTCTCCTATATTCGAGGCCCAGTGCATGAAATTCATGCACGGGTAGGATCCCTAGATCTGCTGATCAGCGCCTTCCAGCTGTTCCGCCCCAATCCTGGTTGAACTCCTGAGGGGACAATTTGCACATTAGGCATATATATATATATATATATATATATATATATATATATATATATATATATATATATATATATATATATATATATATATTAAAAGACTAATATGCAAATTGACTAAGCAGTGGAACAACTGATTGCTATGATGTGCACTGACCACCAGGGGGCAGACGCTGAATGCTGGAGCTGCCCCTTGGTGGTCAGTGCACTCCCACAGTGGGAGCACCTCTCAGCCAAAAGGCCTGAGCCAAGCTCACGCCTCTCCTGGCCTGCCTTCATGGCAGCTCTAAGGATGTCTGACTGCCAGCTGTCAGTTGGACACCCCCCAAGGGCTCCCAGACGGGTAGAGGGTGCAGATTGGGCTGAGGGACACTCCCTTAGTGCACAAATTGTGTGCATCAGGCCTCTAGTATTTATATGTCACAGAATATCTGGCAGAAGGATGCTGCAGAATAGAGAACATCAAGTGCAATGGTCTGGCAGGAGCTGGTTTGAGCTGTGTTATTTATTTATTTATTTATTTATTTTTTTACAGAGAGGAAGGGAGAGAGATAGAGAGCTAGAAACGTCGATGAGAGAGAAACATCGACCAGTTGCCTCTTGCACACCCCCTACCGGGGATATGCCCGCAACCAAGGTACATGCCTTTGACCGGAATTGAACCCGGGACCTTTCAGTCCGCAGGCCGACGCTCTACCACTGAGCCAAACCGGCTTCGGCTGAGCTGTGTGTTTTTTTTTTTTTGTTTTGTTTTTTTTTTAAGATGTTTTTATTTATTTGAGAGAGAGGAAGGGAGAAAAACATCTATCGGCTGCCTCCTGCACGACCCCTACTGGGGATCCAGCCCACAACCCAAGCATGTGCCCTGACGGGGAAAGGAACCGGCTCCCTCTCAGTGCACTGGAGGACGCGCAACCAACTGGGCCACACCGGCCAGGGCTGGCTTGAGGTTTGAAAACAGAAAGGCCATTGTGGCCCGTGTGACTCTAGACAGCAGTGGACAAAGGGGAAAGAAGTCTAGAACTGGCTTATTGGGTGTGTTTTTTAAGCCTTTCGAGGATTTGAGAATGGACAGTGCCCCTCCTGTGTGCAGGGTACAGAGATTGGCCATGCTTGCAGATGAGTTGAAATCTCATTGAGAATGACAGATGAATATAGAGAGTGCAAATGTGAAGTACAGTAGAAAGAAGAAAGAGAAAGCTTTTTGTTTGGGGAAAACCACAAGAGAATGGGAGACTGGAGCTGTATCTTGAAGGACTGAGAGAATGGGGGTGAACAAAGAGGAAGAGAAATGTCATTTCAGGTTGGGGTCGGGTAGGGGGTTTGGGCTTTTGCCTACAGGAGCGGTTCTCAACCAGTGGGTCACAACCCCTTTGGGGATCGAATGACCCCTTCACAGGGGTCGCCCAAGACATCCTTCATATCAGATATTTACATTACGATTCATAACAGTAGCAAAATTACAGTTACGAAGTAGCAACGAAAATAATTTTAAGGTTGGGGGTCACCACAACATGAGGAACTGGATTAAAGGGTTACGGCATTAGGAAGGTTGAGAACACTAGCCTATAGGCATGAGGGCAATAATTGAGGTTTTTTTTTTTTTTTTTTTTAGGAGAGTAACAAGTGGTAGTGAGAGTGATGCAGGATGGAGTGTGGTGAAGGAGAGAAAAGTGTGGGGAGGGAGACCTAGAGGAAAACGGCTAGACTGAAAGTTCATGAGGTATGGACTGGGTCCTTGTCCATCATTGTGCTTGACCCTGACACATCATTTGGATATTTGTTGAAATGAGTCTTTGTAGCGCTCCAGGGTGGCAGTGATAAAGGCCCTAGACTAGCTCTGCCCTGTGTGGCTCAGCTGGTTGGGTATCTTCCTGTGCATTGAAAGGTTGCCAGTTGGATTCACAGTCAGGGCACATGCCCCCGTTTTGGACTCAGTCCCTGATAGGGGCTGTGCTGGAGGCAGCCGATCAGTGCTCTGCTCTCACATCAATGTTTCTCTCTCTCTCCCCTCAATACTTACTCTTTCTATTAAAAAATAAAAATTTACATATATGTGTGTGTGTGTGTATGTGTATGTGTGTGTGCGTATTAAAAGGCCCTAGACTAGGATGATAATTGTGGACATGGAGTTGTAGCGGGGAGCACAGAAACAGTCAGAAGTGTCCCTGAGGTTTGTAGTTGGAGTGACTGGGAAGAAGGAGGCATAAGCGAACACATCTGCGGGGGAGGTGCCCATGATTTCATTGAACATAGACAACTGACTCTAGAACAACATGGGTTTGTGCGAGTCCACTTGCACATGGATGGTTTTCAGTAAGTACCTTTGTTCTTTAAAAATATATTTGTATTGATTTCAGCGAGGAAGGGAGAGAGAGAGATAGAAACATCGGTGGAATCATTGATTGGCTGCCTTCTGCAGGCCCCCTACTGGGAATCGAACCTGAAACCTGGGCATGTTCCCTGACCAGGAATGGAACTGGCAACCTGTCAGTGCCCCTGACAGTGCTCAACCAACTGAGCCACACGGGCCAGACCTATACTGTTTTTGATCCTCTGTAGGGATTCCACGGATGTGGGCAGCTTACTGTGTGTGTTGATTTATACCGTTTTATATAGGGAACTTACCTGCAGACTTTGGTATTTGTGGGGGTCCTGGAACCAATCCCCACAGGTAACAAGGGACACTGAATTCTTTTTCCCCCAAGGGTAAAAATTTTATTTTTTAAGAACTTCATGCTCCACATTTTCAAAGAGAGTAACTTGTAACAAAACAAAAATGTTATCCTCCCCTCATCCTAGAAAATAGGACTGAAAAATTTCTTTTTAAATTACCACTTGGGAATTTAGCACCAGCATCCAAAATGAGCAAAAAGGAGCCGCACCGGATGGGCAGATAAAAAAGCATCAATTTCTTTGGTCGGAGTTCTCCCATGTAGTATTAATATTTCTTTTTTGTTGTGTTTTGTTAATCCTCATCCCAGGGTATTTTTTCCACTGTGTGTGTGTGTGTGTGTGTGTGTGTTTTGTTTGTTTGTTTGTTTTGTTTGTTTTACAGAGAAAGTGGAAGGGATAGGGAGAGACAGAAAGAAACATCAGTTGGTTGCCTCCTGCACACACCCGGACCGGGGCTAGTGAGGGGTTTGTAATCGAGATATGCACTCTCTCTCTTTTTTTTTTTAATGTTTTTTTATTGATTTTTCACATCAGTGAGAGAGAATCATCGATCAGCTGCCTCTTGCACACCCCCCCACTGGGGATGTGCCCGCAACCAAGGTACATGCCCTTGCCCGGAATCGAACCTGGGACCTTTCAGCCCACAGGCCGATGCTCTATCCACTGAGCCAAACTGGTCCCGGCCGAGGTATGCACTCTTGACCAGAATTGAACCCATGATCCTGCAGTCCAAGTGCTGACGCTCTAACCAATGAGCCAAATTGGCCAGAGCACTATTTCTTTCCATTCATATTACCGAAACATTAAAAAGGGGGAAATGTAAATCTAATGGCTGCTGAAACCAGGGAGGTTGCTCTTTTGTCTTCTGTGCAGATTTTCTCGGAAAAATGGCTAGAAACATTGGCTGATAATTCTCCTTTTGTATGTCTTTCGTAAAGAATAACAGTAAATATATCAATGTCCACATCTTGGTTATTAGTCTTCCACTTTTTTGCTTGGATGCCTCTTTGTGTTGGTAAGGTTGTGGTCTGCCTTCTGTGTTATTTTTTGAATGGTCATTAATTCTTTAGGTCACTGCTGATGGTGCAGGTTGGTCGGTGGTTAGCGCAGCTGGTGGTCATGGCAGCCAGGCTGTCTTTCTCTTTGGGATTGGGTCTTGGGCTCCTCACTGGATCTTACTCAAGACAAATGTTTTGGGGGAGTCAGAAGTTTTATGTGGGTTTTTGACTGTGAGGGACTTGGCACACTTAATCCTGCATTGTTCAAGGGTCAACCGGACTGACCATGAGGTAATGAGAGGATCGTGGATATGGAAATGTCCAGCAGGCTCAGGAAGGTCAGCTGTGGATGACAAAGTAGAGTCTGCCATTTGGTAGCTTTGTGACTTTAGGGAAGTTAATTAACCTCTCTGAGCCTCGGTTTCTGCAGCTACAAAAAGGAGGGGGTAAAAATATCTAGAGGGTTAGTGTGAAGAATAAGTGAGGCTCTAACTAAAAAATATAGTAATTGGCAGATGGTATTTATTAAATGACTATTGTGCATGTTACCATTGTTAAGGGAGTGCTTTGCAAAGTTGACAGCTGCACTCAGGGTGGCTGGTTACAGGTGAGAGAGTGTAGGGAGAGAACAGAGGGTAAAGGCTGAACCTTGAGAAAGATAAGATGAAATGAGGAAGAAATCCAGGAGGAGATACAGAGGAAGCTGTCAACAAGACAGATCCTAGGTTGTGTCATGTGGAAGCCAGGCTAGTGGCAAGTTTGGGGGACGTGGGGGGTGGGTATCCTCTTCATGGGTGGCCACCGAAGGTGCTATTGGAATATGACCCACTGCAGTAATTCAGAAAACATGCCAAAGACATCTCATCTCTGCTTGTTTTTAGGATTTGTCTTGGGAGGTGCATTTGGGGTGTTCACCGCCGGCATCGATACCAATGTGGGCTTTGACCCTAAGGACCCTTACCGGACTCCGACAGCAAAGGAAGTTCTGAAAGACATGGGGCAGCGAGGAATGTCCTACGCCAAAAATTTTGCCATTGTGGGCGCCATGTTTTCTTGCACCGAGTGTTTGGTTGAATCTGTAAGTGTCTCTGCCTTCTATGAAAGCTTTGTCTCCTGTCATCTTATGACTTCTAAAGAGAAAGACTCTTAATGTTATTAGAAGGCAGATCAGAAATTGCTAGATTGAATGTCCATAAAATAGCCCCTACTGTAAACTTTTTGTATTTATGATTTGGGCTTGCATGATTCTTGACTTCTTTTAGTAGGCTTATCATTGGTTGGTGATCTTAAACACGAGATTTATTGGGGAGCCTGAGACGTGATTTGAATAATGCTGTACTTGGTTTCAGTGCTCTGGTGACACCTGCAGGAAGCATCTATGAACACATTCAAATTTTAGGAGGTGTCCTTCTGAAAGAAAAAGAGGAAACCTTTTAGGTTTCCCTTGGGGCGGGATTAAATTAGCCAGCTAGGAACCCCGTGTTTTCCTGTCATCGTCTTGTCTGGCATGTTTCTTTGGCTCTAACCTGCACTTGTCCGCCCACAGTACCGGGGGAAATCGGATTGGAAGAACAGTGTCATTAGTGGCTGCATCACTGGAGGAGCCATTGGTTTCAGAGGTTGGTAAACAAGTTTAAGTGGTTTTCTTTGTGGTCTCGGACAGTGTGCTGAAGTTGACATTTCTAAACATATGAGCATTCCAGGGACAGTCCCAGGCCTATGTGGGCACTTGGTACTCTTCCCCCTGACAAACGTTTGCTTATGTGTCAACTCATCTTTGAAAATTTCAGGATTTCTTATCCTTGGCACTAGTGACATTTCGGACCAGATAAATCTGCTGCGGGGAAGGGGGTCGCCCATGTATTTAAGGATGTTTAGCACATCCCTGGCCTCTACCACTAGATGCTAGTAGCACTTCTTAGTTGTGAGAACTCAAGTGTCTCCAGACATGGCCAAATGTCCCGAGGGGCCAAATTGCTCCGAGGTGAGAACCACTGATAGATCTAGATCTTAGGAGAAAGGACTGCCCCATGTTGGAATACACAGTAATTCCTGGAGGACGGTAATATGCAGGCTAGTACGGAAGCATAGCTAGGTTCCATTCAGCCATGGAAAGACCATTTGTCCACATACCATGCTGAACTTTCAGCTTCATGCATTTCCAGTATTGAGACATTTTTCTTAATAATACTCTACAATTGTCAGTTTTAATTTTTTAAGTTATCACAGTAATGTCTTTCTGCAGTTGAGGATTCTTATATTTCTACCCATGGAAAGCCAAATATAAGCATTTAAGAAATGCTGGATTATCAGCTGAAAATAACAAAGAAAGAAACCAATTTCCTGCCACTTCTCCCTGTTGGCATTCCCATCAAGAGTGTTGACTTTCCTAACAGTGTCCATTGCTGGGCCACTCTCTCTCTGCTTGTGCCCTGACTTACCCAAAGCAAACAGCCTCTTTCCTCATTTTCTGAGAGGCAGGATGACTTGCTATCATTAAAAACTTGCTTTTGCTCCTTAAACGGCCATGTATGATTTAGAGGGTAACTTTTCCTTTGGTCTTCCCCTCGCTCAGCTCTGTCAGGCCTTTGGGAAGCTCAGCTCCCTCCAGGACCGCTTTGATCACCTTCCCAGGAATTCACTCCATAAACAAATCAGGGGCAGGCCATATGCTTTCACTTGATTCCAAGGGCTGGTTTTCTTAACCAGTTTCCTGCCTGTGAGGAGCTGTTTTCATGAGACTGGAAATATTAATTCTTTGGAATGAGAAAAGTTAAACGAAGGTACAGTGTAACTAAAGCACTGGGTTAGATCATGTGCCGGGCTTCATTGAAGTCTTACAGTTCTCTGACAGGGTGAATGACAGCACTTAGCTGCTCTCTGTGCTTGTGGGTATGCAGTGGGTGTGCACATGTCTTGTGAATGCAGTCTGGCCCCGCACTGTCACCACGGTTAATGCCACTTCTGCTTGCTTTACAGCTGGCTTAAATGCCGGGGTCATTGGTTGTGGCGGTTTTGCTGCTTTCTCTGCCGCAATCGATTATTACCTACGGTGAGGGTGACTGCCTTCAGGGACGGACACCACCGTCCAGGCCAGCGCTGCTCTCGGAGGGCATTCCCGCGCCATTCAGGGCGCTCGCTTCAGACCCTGAAGACAGTTGTTGTGAGGAGTCACCTGGCCACTGGACGCCTCCAGCCTCTGAGCAGCCACACTCTGCTCCTGGACGCCAGCCTCTCTCTTCCCGGCAGATTAGGAGTCAGCGTGTTGACTTGTAGAGATTAAGCTGCAGAGATTCGGTGCTGACCACACTTGGCCCCCTGGCTGGTTGGTGCGGTGGGAATGGAGGTGACTTTACAGACCCAGGACACTGCTCGACTTCGGAACTCCATGCAGTCATCCCTCCCACGTACCCATTAGGGCAGCACAGTAAATGTATGCCTCTGACCCACTGTGTCCCTTGGTTTAACATTCTGCTATCCTTGTTTAAAAAATGTATTTTTATTACAGTTTAAATGGTTTATTTCTTAATTCCTCAAAATGGTGCCAGGTGGCCCAAAGATTGAACATCCAAAGGAGAAACACGGAGAAAGCTCCTGAGAAGTCTGGGATTGCTAGCTTTTCAGGGTTTGTAGTTGTGTTACCCTCACCGAGACTGATATCAGCCAGGGCTCCATCCAAGAAGCCAGCCTCGCCGCTTCCTAGAATGCATCGAAACCCCAGGGGCAGGTCCTGTGGGCGGCTGACGGGGATGCCTGCGGTCTGAGCCACTTACTGGTGTTGTGCTCTGAGCACTGGACTCGGCCTGGCTCCAGGACACGTGAGGAGCCTGCTCTCATCATCCTGATGATGAAGTCACAGCAGGTCCCGGGTAAAGGCAGACATCGTTGAGGGGTTGTTCACCACACCCTTGCTCTCTGGTATGTGTTCTTTTGCTTTAACATATTAGTGTTTTTTACTTGACTTGGTAGCCCTTTCCGAGGACAAAAGCTCAGTGTAATTTGTATCACAGACAGCAAATAGCCTTTTATGATTAGGACTAGAGGCCCGTGGCACAGAGGTTCACGCGATAGGCCTGCCTTCCCTTGGCTTCCCGCACCGGTTTTCCTCCGGCCAGAGTCTGCCTCCGTCGTCTGCTGCAGACCTCGGGGTCTGCAGTCTTGTCTTGGCTGTGGCACTGCGCTCCTGTGGACCCCTTTGCCTCCTGCCCTCCCCTCAGCAGGCATCCTGCCCCGCAGGCCACTCCGCGCCTGGAGCAGCTTGGCAGCCATCATCTCTGGCCTTCTAATTTGCATACTCACTCTGATTGGCTGTGGGCACAGTGGAGGTACAGTCCATTTATATGTTTGTCTATTTTATTAGATAAGATTTGCCCCGGGTTCTGCTTTACTCTGCTGCTTCCGTGGCAAGATGAAGCTGATGAGTTCAGGCTTTTGCTCTTGGGGCAGGCAGGCTTGTTGGGGGCATATATCCTGGCTGTCTTTAGCCAGTGGTTGTCTTTTTTCCTGCAGTACAGTAACTCCTTTGCCTTTTTTTTTTTTTTGCTTTCTTTCCCCTTGCCTGCTGTCTAATAGCCCACCCACTCTTAACCAGAGTTCAAAGACTCAGCTGGAACATCCAGGCATCCCGAGTGTGTGTTTGTATGTGAGAGATAATGTCAAACCCAGCTGGTAACACCTTCCTCTGGCCATGTCTGCTGTTTCCTTTGGAATGAGTGTGAGTTAGTGCACAGAGCTCATGTCCTTCTATGGTGAATTCTATATGCCTGGCCTAGTCTCACAGGCATGAGGCGTCATTGCTGCTAGGCTGTCTGGAGTGTCCTCAGAGGTCCAGGCACCAATTTACATTGTCCCTCAGTGTCACCTAAAAGCACTCTGAGAGCAATAGCAGCTACTCCTCCTGCCTGGCACCTGTCAAAAGTGTTAGGACCCAGCATCTTCCACCGACCAGTCTAGCGCGTGGGGTAGATGCGCCGAGCACCCGGACCAGGACAAGCTGCCCTCACCGCTGGCTTGGAAAAGATGAGCCCTGGGCTGCCAGTAGGGCCATCAGTTCAATAAGCGAAGCATTGTCCACACTGGCTATTCAGTCGAGAGAGGAGATGAATAGTTTCCTGTTTTAGATGGCTGAGGAGTCAGTATGACCTCATAAACCAAACACCAATTTTCAGAGACATCTGTTCCCGATCTCCAGAATAAACAAGTGGCCAAGGGCTCGGGCTGGTGGGAGCTCCGTTAACCCCCCGGCTCTCCTAAAGGGAGGCGGCTCTCTAGGGGACCCAGCCCCTGTGCAGGCAGATTAGGCCAGGGGCTGCCCCAAAGCTGAGCCACATCCAAGGACAGTGGAGAGGGAAGTTTACACAAAATAGGAAGCCTCCACTTGAAGGGACAAGTTCCTGCCATCTCTCCGAGGATGCTGACGGCCAGGTTCCTGGCAGGCAGGGCACGTGTACTTCCTCGCTGGCTGCTGGGTGACCCGGAGGCCTTGTGGAGAGGAGGAGAAGGCTTGGGCTCCCCTCCTCCTCCTGCCACAGTCCCCGAGGAGTCCACAGGGGGGAAGCTCAGGAGGGTAACTAGGTAAACAGATTCCCGCAGCTCATATCTGGACGCAGCCTGAAGAGTTAAGTATTTAGATGGGTGGTCTTCCCTGGACCACTGAGAACACAAATGTCCGCACCACAGGGCTGAGTTGTGTGCAAATGTTGGGGCTTTGCATTTTTTTTTATTAACATTTTCCTCTCACGTGGTTTACATCAATTTATAATAATCTACAGAAGTTGAAACAGAACATAGACAAAAAAATATATCCTTACCCACTTATTAAAGTCAAATGTTAATGAAGGGTCCCATCCCACCTGTATTGGCAAAAACCGGAACCCGGCCGCCCATAGTCACTGCCAACAAGGCAGGCCTTCTGGGCTCCTGTGGCCTGTGTCCTGAGCCTGTGGGCACAGACTGCCCTGCTGGGCACAGGATGGGGTTCTGGGCTGCACGGTTCCTGCCTCAGCAGAACCCGTGGGCTATTTCCTTGGTGCAGCGTCATCCAGGTCTGGTACCTGCCCTTCCCCACTCGGGGTAGAATCTATAAATATTCTGAGCCTTTTGCATTTCTCAGCCCTTCTAGCCTTCCTCCCATTCTCACACTGCCTAAGCACACGTAGGGGCTGCAGTAAGTAGCTACCTGATGCTGAGAAGTGAACATCCCTTGCTTTGGGAGGTGGGAGGCACCCATTTTTGGCTGTAACTCGCTCAAGCCGGGCCTCCGCTCATTACCATCAATGGCTTTGGAAACAAAAGCAGAGATGGGCAGACGCTGGGATCTTTAGACTCAAGTTCTTTCCCCCTCTCCTGGCCCAGGGAGCAGGGCTTCTGACGAAGCTGCGAACAGGTAGCTAGCTAGATGGTATTCCCTCTTCTTGGGCATTTCTTTCCTCACAGAATGTGTACCGTCTGCCCTCGACGGAGTGACAGGTGTAAACAAGGCCGGAAAGGGCCCTCCTTCCGGAGCAAGCACCACAGCTCTCGGGCCGGCAAACCCTTCTTTACCACTCAGCCCTGCGCTCACGCTGTGGGAGCTGTTCTCCCAGTCCCGAGGCCCGGGCTCTGCTCTGCCACAGAGGAGAGCGGGGGAGCTTGTGCTGCCCCCCGAGCCCCTGCGGCCTGGGAGCGTCTGCCCAGCCAGGCTGGCCACCAAGCTCCCACGGGAAGAAACAGGTGAGCTGTGGGTCTCAGAGCTGGGAATGGAACCTGCCGATCCCGGACTCGATGGAGCATCAACAGTGAGGGTCTCCAGCCCAACCCAATCCCAGGAGAGACAGGCGCCTGCAACTCCTCATCCTTCCCCGCCTCGGTGGTTTCCCAACGCTCACCCGGAAAGCTGCACCCGGGAGTCGGGGTTGGGAGGCAGCGCCGTGACGGCTGCCTACGTGGACTGCCTGCCTTTCCCAGGCCCTGCAGCACCTGTGGCCGTGGCTGTGGGCTACCCCGTGGCAGTGCTTGGCTGTGGAGGATGTAAAGTCTAAGGCAAAGGTACCTCGAGGTACACGGGGCACCAGGAGGGGCTGGTCTGGACGCCTGCTTCAGCCACACCAGTTGCCCTCCCGGAGGCCAGGAAAGCCTCGGCGGCGACTCCTGCTGCCGACAGCCGCCTCCCCGCTCGGGACACCAGCGCCGCTCGCTCTCTGAACGTCCACCTGGGGCTGTGCCTCTCCCACCTCCCGATTCTCCCCGGGCCCTCCGGCCACCTCCACAGCAGGTCACTGACGAGTCTACGCTCAAAGGAAACAGACCACCAGGGGGAAAGGAACCGAAAAGCAGAAGAAGAAACAGTCAAGATGCCTCCCCGGTAGACAGGAGACAGAACAGATAAACCCCAGAAATGGTCCTCGGGTGGAAAATGCCAGAAATCCGCTCTGCAGCTGTGCTAAGCTGAGGATTTAGTGTGAGTCTGTCTCCTTGTCCAACATTTGCACAGGCAGCAAGGCAAAGCGGGGGTGCTTCCACGGGTGGAGAGCAAGGAGGGGGCCGGGCGGGGGCAGCATGCGGCAGCACTGAGGCCCCCCGCGGTCACCGCCCCCCCGGGGCCACCTCGGACCTTCCCAGGCGGCGGAGCGAAAACCAAGGCTGCACATGCACGCGGCGGGCGGGGGAGCGTGGACACCGAGGAAGGCTGCCAGGAGACTGCCATCTGGGAGCGGGGCCAAGCGAGGACAAGCTGGCAGCGGTTACGGGGCGCCAAACGAAAGCCCTTGGACCGGACTCGGGAGGAAAGAAAGTGTCGGAGGAAATGAAAGCACGAGGCAGGCCGTCTCTGTGCCCATACGGGGTCCGTCCCCACCTTCCCTGCGTGACAAACGGACATAAGACGACCCCCACGCGGCGTGAGACACACTAGCGGCCCAGAGGGCGGGAGCCCGGGGCGTGGCGGCGGGGCGGGGCGGGGGCCGGGCGGCTGGCTTTGTACAAGGCGGCACAAAAGATGCACATGTTCCAGTTCTCGGAGCCCCGCGTCCCTTGGAGTCTGGAGAGCTGGGTTTGGGAGCTTCCTATCGTAGTCTTTCAAGTCTGTGCCGGCCGCCCGGCTAGAGGCCGGCTCGGCCACCCCCACAGCTCCCACCTGGGGCTACACATCCGTGGAGAAGTACAGTGTGTTCCGCTTCAGTTCTGCGAAGGAGATGGGGGGGTGCTGCAGGTAGTAGAGGAGGACCTGGACCTGTGGGGAAACGGGGGAGACTGAGGCAGGGTCCTTGCCCCCGGGGCCTCCTCACAACTTCCTTTTTAAAAAAATATATTTTATTGATATTTCACAGAGAGGAGGAAGGGAGAGAGCTAGAAACGTCAATGAGAGAGAAACATCGACCAGCTGCTTCCTGCACACCCCCCACCAGGGATATGCCCGCAACCAATGTACATGCCCTGGACAGGAATCGAACCTGGGACCTTTCAGTCCACAGACCGACACTCTACCATTGAGCCAAACCAGCTTCGGCACAACTTTCTTTAAGAAGAAATGGTCCCCAGTCTGTGTTGCTCCCCTTCCCTCTCAGGTTGGCTCCTGCCACTTTCCCTTCCTTGGCAGCTCGGGTGTGCCTGCCCCTTTGCAGCAGTAGAGGGCGCTACAGGGCAGAGGGTGGCTTTGGCTTGACATCCTGCCTCAGACGGGGCCCTGCTCTGGGTCTTGTAGGACCCCAAGGAAGCCTGCCCAGAAGCAGTCCCAGAGCTTCCCCCGGGAGGACGAGGCCCCAGCATTCCCCGCCCCGGCTTCCTTTCGGAGACAGGCACGTCCAGGACGGAAGCCAACACCAGGCCCTGGTCTAGGTCCTGAGTATAAACTCTTTGTTTTGGTCTGGGAAGGGAGGACTGTCCAAAGTCCCGCCTCCCTGGGGACAGCCTGCAAACCACGAGCCCAGCTGCTCAGGAGCGAAGGGGTGTGGGCCCAGCTGTTCTCGCTCGTCCGTTCAGGGAGCTGGCCTCTCCCTCGTACCTGTGCCATGACATCATGGGACCAGATGTCCGCAGCTGACGTGAGGTGTGCTTTGCTCTCCACTTCTGAGGGTCTCAGTAACGTGGGGCCAAACACAGTAGCCAGGTTGTGAAGGGACATTTTGTTGATGGGCTCCTTCTCAGCAACCCTGAAAGGGAGGGGAGGGGAGGAAAAAGTCACTTCTCAGCAGCTGCTGAGCGCTCCGGACCCTGGGCCTTCGGTGTAGGAGCTCCTACGATTCCTGGAAGTGGTTGCCAGGCAGAGACCTCTTGGTAGGGAGGGAACTTGGTCAAAGGACCACATCCCCAGCTATAGTCCCTGGACATTCCTGGAACGGGGGCCCAGCTCCGGGCCACCCCTGAACTGAAGGCAAACCGTCAGAAGGACCCACACTGACACCTCTGCCTTAGAGACAATGGTGCCATTAGCCCAAGAACTTTCCTGATAATAAATCACACTCCTCAGCATCCTTTGGGTAAGTAGCATCGTCTCCACTGTACAGACGAAGAAACGAAAGAACAGAGAGGGTAAGTGGCTTGTCTGAGGTTCTCCAGCTAGCAAGCGGGAGGGCTGGGGTTGAACCCGGGCAGCCTGCCTGCAGAGCCCCTGCTCCTCACCCTCCTCACCCCTGCTTTACCCATGACCAGTCAGGCCGCGTTGTGTGGCCCAGGAAAGGGGGGGAGGGGTAAGGGGTAGGGGGGTGGGGGCAGGGACAGCAGCACAGGCAGGGAGCTGGAGCCCCAGCAGCAGTTGCTAACTAAACGCTGGGCTCTGTCCCGGGTTGTGGCAGGAACAATCCTTATCCAGAAGGGTCTGGCTCATGGGACCCAGAGCAGCCTCCTTTTTGGATCTTTTTTTTTTTTTTTAGTATGTTTTTTTTTATTTCAGAGAGACAGGGAGAGGGAGAGAGACACAGAAACATTAATGATGAGAGAGAATCACTGATTGGCTGCCTCCTGCACTGCAGGCCCCCGACTGGGGATCAAGCCTGCAACCGGGCATATGCTCTTGACCAGAATTGAACCCAGGACCCATCAGTCCGCAGGCAGACGCTCTATGCACTGAGCCAAACCACCGAGGGCTCTCCCTCTGGAACTTCCTCTGCTTCTCTTGCACAACAGGCCAGATGCTCTGTAGATATTTCCCCCGAGTGACAGCAGGGGCTGCTTTCTATGGCTCATACCCAGGCGGCCAGTTCTACCCACACACCAGAGAGGCCCTGGGCCTCCCCTCCTAGAAAATGTCTCTGGGGCTGAGACCCAGCCGTCCCGAGCAGCAAATCTAAGTCATGGACATGCCTGCTGACTGCTATGGAAACGGGCAGACAAACACTGCCATGCCAGGAGGCAGCTGTGCAGCTGGCCCAGCCCCTACACACACACACATACACACACACACACACACACCCCAGCCAGGGGCCCAGATGTGGGAACAGACTGTGCCCGGTTCCCAGGCTGGAAAACCTAATGAATTTTCCCCTTTCCACTCCTCCTCTGTGTGTCCTCCCCACAGTGCTCGCCAAACTATCTGGGAATTGGTTGGGGCTCTGGGGCTCATATTCCCAAACCAGAGGGAATATGTCTCATAATGGGAAAAACAACACGCGGTCCCAGACGTTTCCAGGTCTCCGGAGCCATTGCTGGGAGGCTGGGCCTAAGGGTCGGGGCTGAGCCCGGGATGGACCTGGCCCACGCACAGCCCCCTCCCCAGGCTCCTGGGTCCCCGGTGGCGAGTTTAAGGGGCACCTGGGGACTTCCGCTCCCCACTCATCCCCAGACAGTCCTGGGCTCCAAAGGGAGCAATGAGGACACCTCCGGGGCTGGTTTCAGTCGGAACTCGCTGCGGGCCTCAACATGAGCAGCTCTTGGTTGGGGACCATTGTAGAGGGGGGAGGGGGAGAGGGCCTTTGTTTAGGATTTAGGAGCCGGGAGTCTAAGGACAGGCCTGCTAATCAGAGCAGGTCCCTGCTGGTCTCCCTATCGGTTCAAGTGTGGTCAAAACCAGAGGAGTGCCAGCGTTTTTGACTGGGACACGCAATAGCGAGCACTTTTACACGGTGGAGTACGAGGCTGTGCATAACCGGACACCAGGACTCGCGCACACACACTCACCGCCGTGGCGCATCGGCTGCTGCCTATGCTTTCCGTGCGACGTGTGCCATGCTGATCGACTGACCCACTGACTGTAAAACTCAGCGGCGGTTTTGGCTCCAGCCTGGACTTTCTAAGCATTCTGTGGCCAGTATTCCAGGCTGTCATTAGAACCCAAATACTTTTTCAAACAGAATTTGAGTGTAAAAATTTGAAGGGCAAACTCTCACCTTGCTACAGACGGCCCGGCAGGCGAGTCCTCTCCAGCAGGGCCTGCCTGCCCGGGCTCCCTGCCCCCACCCCGGTGGACCCTGCGTTACCTTTTCAAGTGTTCCAGCAGGAAGAGGAAGGTGATGAGGTTGGGGTCGGGCAGGGAGCGGAGCAGGTGCATCATGCAGTTTTCCTTGGCAGCAGGGTCTGACAGGGCTGTGGGGAGAGACAGGGCTTGGCTCCCAGGCGGGGTGGGGTGGGGGGTGGGGAGTGTGGGGGGGTCGGGTGGTCAGGAGGCTGCAGGCCCTGAGGGAGAGGCCAGGCTGCCCCGTTAACAGCCAGTTCCTATCGGAGGCCCCGCCCACAACCTGCACTCAGCCAGGGGCAGCGGGTGGGGGGGGGGGGGGGCAGACACCTGCCTCCCTCCCTGCACAGGCCTCTGCGGCTGATGCTGTTCCACCCTGGTCTATCAGCAAAGCTTAAGACAAGATGACACCGTGAATGTTCTCCCAGCCACTCGGAGACAGCAGAGCCGCCAAGTGCCTTCCAGGGGACTCACTGCTCGGGGCACTGAAGCCCTGACCTGCCCCAGGGGAAGGCGGGGCGGGAGGGCTGCACCCAGGCCTGGATTTGGCCTGTGGGTGGAGGCCAGGGCCTTCCGCTTCCTCCCCACCCATGGCCCCAGCCACTGCGAGTGCATCCAGCTCTAACTAGGCCTCTCCTTGGCCCTGGGCGCTGCCCCTGACCGCCCCCTGCAGGAAGGTGTCCTAGGACACCCAGGGTTCCAAGCAAGGAGGTCCCTGTCCAAGGAGGAGGACAGAGGCAGCCCCCGGGACAAGAGGGGAGAGGCAGGGGAGAGAGGGTGCAGTGCTAGCTCAGGCCCCAGCAGACCACCCCCACCCCCACCCCCGGCTACTCGGGTGCATGAGCAGGCCGATGAACAAGGAAGCCAGGGCCCTTGTGCTGCTCTTGACTCTCTGCTGGTCGGCAGGCCTGGCCAGCGGCCCTTGGTCCCGGAGCCTCACCGATGCCCTCCATGAAGGCGGGGTAGAGGCGGTCTGTGAGCAGGGGCTCGGGCAGCTCCCGGAAGTAGAGCTTGAGGGTGCCAGCGATGGCGTTGATGTCCATGTCGCTCAGCATCAGGAGGATGTCCTTGTTATCTGCAGAGGAGGTGCGAGGTCAGGGGCCGCACTGGCCTGAGCCACCTCCCATGAGCCCTCAGCTGGTTGGTGCGGCTCTGTTCCACTCCCCACCCGTCCTTCACCTGCCAGGGTGCCCCCCCACCCACTCCAGCTCTGGTCTGGTCTCCCGCAAACAGGGAGGGTGCAGGTAGTGCCCGCAGGTGGTCTGGGACTCAGATCCATGGGGGGAAGGAGGGAGGAGGGGGAGCCGAGTTCATCACCCAGAATTCTGGAGCCGCATTCGAACCACGTGCCACACCCCCTCCCTCCACCTGGTCCCTCCCCACTGCCGAGCCTGCTCTGGAAGACACCACACACTTCTTACCCTAAAACCGCGTCCCAACAAAGCCTCAGCCTCCCGGTCGCATGGAGGAGCCAGCATGTCCCCAGCCCCCAGCTCCCCAGCCCAGGCTTCCCCAACAGGGATACGCACACCCGCGCTCAGCTCCTGCGGAATCAGCACGGCCAGGCCGGCCACGGGGTGTGCTGGCAAGATGGGAGGAGAAGGCCTGGAAAGGGCAGGCCTACCACGGAGGAGTCTGCAGTCAAAAGCCAGACAATGCCCCTCCAGAGGCACACGGGGCCCTGGCGATGGTGGGGAGCCAGCCGGTACCCCCAGGGACTGGGAGCTGGCGAGGGCCAGGAATCTGGACTCTGAAGGCAGGAGGATCCGTGTTTAAATCAGGCTCGAAACCTACTAGCTGGGCAAGCCTGGACCCGGGTCTTGACCTCTCCGAGCCTCAGCCCCTTCCCTGAAGCCATGGGTAAGGGAAGTGCAGGAGGAGCCTGGGCACAGGGACTCAGAAACGGTCCAGCCCACACCACCGACTGCAGGGAGAGGCGGGGCTCTCCTGCCCCCTCTGCGCCCGCCGCCTGGCGCCGGCCTCCGCACTCACTGGCATCGAAGACGGCCTTCAGCGCCTGGATGTCGGTGGCCACCCCGGATATCCGGTAGATGCCGACCTCCTCGATGCCCCTCTTCTCCACCTCCTCCACGCACTGCCGCACGATGTAGGGCACCTTGGAGCGCTCCCGCCTGCGGGAGGGAAAGGAGGAGGGTGGAAGGAGGCCCCGGCGATGGCTGCACGGACCCTCCCAAACACTCCGCCTTGGAGAGCTCTCGCCTCTGCAACCAGGAGGCAGTGGGGGGGGGGGCAGGGACAGGGCTGAGGAAGAGGCCATGCCCGCTGCCCCACGGCCCACCCAGGGCCTGCCTGCTGGGGGAAGCAGGGGCACAGGGGAAGCTGGGGAGATAAGCTCTAGGATTGAGGAGGGGACGTCCCTGGGAACAGAGGTCTCAGATTCTGAGGCTATGGAAGCCCCAGTGGGGAACTCTATATGGGAGGGGCCGGGCCCCGGAGAGTGGGATGGTGGGGAGCCCAGGATGCCGGCCCTGGTCCGAGGGGCCGCTGCTCCTTGGAGTCCACCAGCCCCGGCCACGCTGAAATGTGGGCCTTCAGTTTGACATCTTCCCGTTCATTACGAGAAGCTGACGGCCCTGGCATTTCCCCGTGCCGCACCCCGGTGTCGCGGTGCTGGCTCGTGTCTTTCTTTCTTTTTTTAAAAAATATATTTTATTGATTTTTCACAGAGAGGAAGGGAGAGGGATAGAGTTAGAAACATCGATGAGAGAGAATCATCAATCAGCTGCCTCTTGCACACCCCCTGCTGGGGATGTGCCTGCAACCAAGGTACATGCCCTTGACCGGAATCGAACCTGGGACCTTTCAGTCCGCAGGCCGACGCTCTATCCACTGAGCCAAACCGGTCCCGGCTGTCTCGTGTCTTTCTAAAACAGCACGGGCGGCAGAGAACACCCCTCTGCGGGCCACTGGTGGCCTCCGAACCTGTCCCTGTGCCTGCTGAGCCGAGGGTGACTGCTCAGGGGCGGGCAGGAAGGGCAGGGGCCGGGCATGGACGCAGCACGCGCACGGAGGCACCACCTACTTGGTCACCACGCTGATCTTCACGCCAAAGACGCCCGTCTGCTTTTTGGACGGCGTCCTCTTCAGGCTCATGTCTCGGCTGGTGAACTTCATGGAGAATTCCACTTTGATCTGGTCGGGGGGTGGCAGGGGAGCCAGGCATGAGTGCCCCGAAACATAGGGACCCCTTGCCAGGACTGTAAGCAAGGCCCCCCTCTTGCCCCCAGGGCTCCCTGACATCCTGGTGGGTGGGAGAGGGGAGGGGGCAGGAGGAGGGAGGGAGAGGGACGGGTCTGAGGGGCAGGACGGCACCGGAGGACACCAGCCAGCATTCGGGCTGCCCACCCACCGTGCAGACACTTCCTCCCTCCCCAGCTCACCCCGTTCATCTCGATCACATCTGTGTGCCAGTTCTTGGTTTCTACAGTCTGTGGATCCAACTGTGAAGAAAGAAAGAGCACAAGTGAGAGAGAGAGATGACAGCTAGAGACCCAGCCAGAGCTCTCTGTTGTGCAGCCTCTGCTCAGAGCTGGCTAACTGGTCAGGAGGGCAGACGAAGGGCCTGATGCTCATCCGGACATCAGCCCTCCCGGGTGGCTTCGGCCTCCAGCCCCTCCTGGCCCGGGGAGGGAAGGACTGCCCCCTCCTCTCAGTGCAGGAGGTAGGGCACACTGCGAGGTACCTTTGCCCATCGCCTCTTGTTCACTCCTGACCATCACCCTGTGGGGTGGGATTATCGCCTGTTTCACAGATGCAGAAACTGAGGCTCACAGTGAGCAATCTGCCTGGCCGCCTGACGGGGGGGGGGAGCCCGTGTAGGGAGGTGCTGAAGGGGAGGCAGACCCAGGTGAAGCCCCGTGCAGGGGTCAGGCGGCCAGGTCTGAATCCTGGCTCTGCTGCTCGCAGCTGCACAACCCTGGGCGGTCTGAGCCTCGCTGAGCAAGCCTCGTCCATCCCCCCGTCCACTGCAGTCAGCAGCAGGGCCTTCCTCGCAGTGAGAGACTGGTGGGAAGCGGTTGGTCCCACAGGGAAGCAAACACTCGGCCGGGGAGGCCCCCCCGTCAGGCAGGAGCCCCCGGGAGGTAGGGATGGCGGGAGAGGCTCGGAGGCCCCCCTCCCAGGGGAGCGGACAGGACGCCGTTTCTCCCACCCAGCGGCCGCCAGCCTCTGTTCCCTGGTGCACCCACAAATCTGAAAACCATGCGCTCTCTGGCACATTTTAAAATCAACATCTGAATATTTCCAAGGCAAGTTTAAATACTTGCCCGGGATAGAATTTCCAAAGCGATGTAAATATTTACATCTTAAAATAAAGCTGTTACCTCACTCCGCAATGTGTGCCGTGAAGCCCGAGCATGTGATCCGATCCCCGCCGCCGTCCGCGCACAAAGACGCCGCAGCCTCCCGCCCGGCGGAAGCGCCCCCCCCCCCCCCCCCCCCGCCTCTCCCTCCTGAGCGCGTTTCAAGTCTCTGTTCCCAAAGGGTTTTGCCCCAGTTTGTGTTTTTTTGATGTTAAAGCCTTTTGTTGGCTGCCCTATTCTATTTCACTTCAATAAAAATATCTGCATACATGGAAATGAAAAATGTCCTCAGACCACAAGGCTCTAAGTATGCAAAACATATTCTGGGTCAGTCATTATAATAATTAGCAGCAGACAATGACAATTAGCCACCGCGTTGGAAACTGTAATGACTGTTCGGCAGCAAAGGGCCGTTTTGGTGGGCTGGCGTCCCTGACGCAGACGGGGAGCGTGTTTCCTGGGTGAGCTCATGTGTGTACACGAAGAGCAGGGTGAGACAGGGTATAACATAAATTCTGTTCATATTTGTTTTTTTTGTTTTGAAAGACGTAAAGAACAAAGCATCCTGTGCACAGAAAGAAGCAGACGAGGCCTACGTAGTCTTATTGGAGCAACGCTAAGCAAGATTAACCTTCTTCCCTTGTTAGCCGCTTTAAATTGCACATTTAGCCTCAGCCAAAATTTATTTTAAACAGCCTCTCAGCTGCCAACTCCCATCGGTCGTAGAAAACAAAATAGGGGAAGCCACCAGCCTGGAGACAGGATCTATCACCCAGCCATTGGCCTTTCGTTTTTCACCCCCCCCCCGCCCCCGCATTCCAGTGGCCCCTCTGTTGTGCGCCCGGAGGCGGCAGGCCCGGAGGTGGCAGGACCGGCCACGGCCCCCAGCGAGCCTCAAGCCTTGAGCTCCTTTGCAGAGAGAGCTGCTGGTCGAAGGCCCTTCACAAGGGGACCGCTTTTGGACAGCAGCACCGATGGGAGTTGAGGATCTGCAAACTCGCTCCCTTGAAACTCCCCCTGCCCTGCCGCTCCCGGGAAGTCCCTGCACACCCAGGGACACGCGCAGGGTTTGAACACCGCTGCTCACCAGGCCTCACACGGAGGAAAGCCAGCCATCCGGGCCAACACGGGGTGCACTGGGCCCTGGGGCTTCCTACAGTCCTTCCTGAACCTTCCTTCCATCACGCAGACACCAGCTATAAACAGGCACCCAAGCATCTGTTGGGTCTGGGGTCTGCATCGGGGCCAGCTCTGGCCCGGGCCCAGCCTTCTGTAGTCAGTTCCTTGCCCGAAGAAGGGACAGAACTGGGAACAGGAGAGAGGAGAGAGATGTAGAGAGAACCGAGCACCCCCACGCTCCCCGCCAACACCTCCCCAAACGCAGGGAAGCATGCGGGGTTTATCAGCGGGGCCTGGACGCGGGGCCTGGGTCTGCCCCCAGTGCTCTTTGTCCACAGAGGCAGGTGCTGGCCTTGGAGCACACGTTCTGGAGTGGCCATGCTATTCACGACGGTCTCTCCAAGCACCAACATGAACCCCAGCCCATCCCATGGCCAGGTCACCTAAGGTCACTCTGCTGCCCCAGCCTCCCCTGACAGCTGCCAGGGACTGAGCCAGGGGCCCTCTGTGGGTCCCGCAGTGGGATCTGGACTCAGCCCGAGTGGGGAGAGGCTGGGGACGGAGAGCCCAGATGTTCCGTCTTCACTCAATGGTGTGAACTGGGGTGAGTCACGTGACCTCTCTGAACCCGTTTCCTTGCGGGGAGTGTCCGTGCCTACCTCAGAGGGTTGCTATGGAGAACAGTCACAGCAAATGGGGAGCATCTCCTGTGAGTCTGGCACCATGCCCAGCCCTTCAGGTACAGCATCTCCGGGGGTCATCCTAGCAAGCCCCAGAGGGTTAAGCCTCGGTAGCTGCTCCCATTGTACAGACAGGGACATGGAGGCTTCAAGAGGCCGCGGAGCCAGCCAAGGGCCACACGTCTGCCACGGGAGAGCCGGGGGGCGCAGCCACGTCTCTCGGGCTCGTCTGCTCGGCTGACCTGCAGGACGAAGCACCTGGCCCGGCGCCGGCACCTCTCGGCGGAGGAAGGAGACAGCGGGGCTCCTGGCGCGTGGACGGGCACCGGGGCAGACCGGGTGCTGGCAGCGCCCCCAGGACCCTGCTCTGTTCCTTCTCTCCCACGGCCTCTGTCCGAGCGGCCAGGTCGCAGCCCTGCGTTTTCCCGGGAGCCTCGGAGACGGGAAAAGCAGCTCCGCTGAGGCCCAGAGCCGGCCCGCTTCCTCCGAGAGCCTTCCGGGACAGCCCCGGGCTCCAGGCGCCTTCCGCTCCCCTGCCCCTCGCACCCAGGCCCGGCCCCCGCAGCCTGCCGGCACCATCGGCAACTGTTCTGCACACACCGGCCTGTCCGAGGCCGGGTGAGTTTTAGCGCAAGTTCCCGCCGCATTCCCGATCCCCTCCACAGTGCGCCCCGGACCCGGTGCACCCCGGACCCAGTGCACCCCGGGACCCGGTGCACCCCGGACCTGGTGCACCCCGGGACCCGGTGCACCCCGGACCTGGTGCACCCCGGGACCCGGTGCACCCCGGGACCCAGTGCACCCCGGGACCCGGTGCACCCCGGACCCGGTGCACCCCGGGACCCGGTGCACCCCGGACCCGGTGCACCCCGGACCCGGTGCACCCCGGGACCCGGTGCACCCCGGACCCGGTGCACCCCGGACCCGGTGCGCCCCGGGACCCGGTGCGCCCCGGGACCCGGTGCGCCCCGGACCCAGTGCGCCCCGGGACCCGGTGCGCCCCGGGACCCGGTGCGCCCCGGGACCCGGTGCGCCCCGGGACCCGGTGCACCCCGGGACCCGGTGCACCCCGGACCCGGTGCACCCCGGGACCCGGTGCGCCCCGGGACCCGGTGCGCCCCGGGACCCGGTGCGCCCCGGGACCCGGTGCGCCCCGGGACCCGGTGCGCCCCGGACCCGGTGCGCCCCGGGACCCGGTGCGCCCCGGGACCCGGTGCGCCCCGGGACCCGGTGCGCCCCGGACCCGGTGCGCCCCGGGACCCGGTGCGCCCCGGGACCCGGTGCGCCCCGGACCCGGTGCGCCCCGGGACCCGGTGCGCCCCGGGACCCGGTGCACCCCGGGACCCGGTGCACCCCGGGACCTGGTGCACCCCGGACCCAGTGCACCCCGGGACCCGGTGCGCCCCGGACCCAGTGCGCCCCGGGACCCGGTGCACCCGCACCGCTCGGGGAGCCCGCCCAGCCCCTCGGCGCCCCGGCAGCGGGCTGTCTCCCAGGAGGCCGGCAGCCTCCAGGAGCCAAGGCTATTTCAGGACGTCATTTCAATGCAGAGAAGGGAGGGCGCAGAGGAGAGGGACATGGCACGTTTTCCAGAGAAATGATGCTGCCTGCATGGCGCGGCTATTTATAACCCCTGGGAAATGTGGGCTCTGCTATTTCCTGATTAGATTAGCGCTGGGGGCGGCGGGGCCGGCCCCTGGGACGGGTGGGGAGGGACACCTGACTGCTCACCCTCCGGTCCCGGCAGAGGGGCCACCCTCCGCCCCGCAGAGCAGGCACCCGGGGACCTCAGGTCACCCGAGGGAGGCAGGCAGGCAGATGGGGCTGCACAGGGCCAGGCTGGGGAGACCACAGAGGGCCCGGCTTCACTGTACAGGAAGTACACACCCAGGGGGGCTCCCCATGGGGCCCGGGCAGGAGGAAGACGGGCCGTAGGACATGCTGGAGAGAGGGGTGACCGAGGGGGCTGTCCACGGCCACTGGGAGCAGCCGAACCCTGGTGAGTAGCCTTCGCATCCGGACTTGGGTCTGAGCACGTCTGCACGCCCAGCGTCTCTGCCGGGGAGAACCGGCCGGCCTTGGGGACTGAAGTCCAGGAGAGAACTACGAGGGCCTGCAACAACACCCCGGGCTCCTGGTGGGAACCCTGCCCCCCCACCCGGGAGGCCCCTGACCTCGCTGGGCCTCAGCGGCCTCATGTTCGGGACAGGGAACGCCCAGGGCAGGGCGGGTGCTCTGTGCGCACCCAGCGCCCTCCAGATGGGGGTGTCACCTTCACTTTGGGAACGGCCTCACGGGTCCCCTCTGAGGGGGCTAAGCCCTTCCTCTCGGCCAGTCTGT